GCTGGATGCACCGATCGGAACGAAACCTTTTGCATCTGGTAGGTTCTGGCTCCCCATTGGTACCATTATAAAAAAATTTTTCATTTTTTAATTGCAAAGTATTGTTATTGCAAAACAACCGGCAACTTTTTGCAAAACAACCAGCAACTTTTGAAATAAACTTTTCTCGATTTTAGTGCATTTTTAATATCTTATCACGGACATGATTCTGAACAATTTTATTCATATACAAATTTCGCGGAAAACTTTTGTTTTCGAGATATTAGTGAAAAATTGTTATTAACTTCTGAAATCAACTTCGAACGATTTTAATGTCCTTCGAATATGTTGTTAGGGGCGTGGTTCTGGACAACTGCTTCCTCTTGCATAATTGACGGAAAGCTTTTGTTTTCGAGATATTAGCGAAAATTGTTGTTAACTTTTGAAACCAACTTCGAACGATTTTTATGTTCTTCTAATACGTTATTAGTAGCATGATTCTAAACGAGTTTTTCCTTATGCATAATTGACGTTATTAGTGGCATAATTCTGAACGAGTTTTTTCTTATGCATAATTGACGGAAAACATTAGTTTTCGTGATATTAGCGAAAAACTATTGTTATTAATATTAGTGGAACGCCCCGTGCTATGCACGGGAAAGCTATGCACGGGAAAGACAAGAAAGGGCAATTACAATGCACTGTACCAAAACACTAACTAAGCTTTACCGCTCTGACACGCGACTTATACAGCAAGATGAGTTCACGTTGACGTTGGTATATTATTCCCATTCCTTGGTACAGTCCCCGTATCGTTCTAAAAATGCATCAATTTGATTCGTTCGAAAATTTGTTGCGCAGGATCTGCTATTATTTTACGGGTACTCTGACCCTTGTGCAGTCCTAAACCGTAAGAGATACACATGCGCGGTAAATTTTTGCAAAAAAAGTTAACAAAGAACAAATGGATGAAGCACCCTCAATCATGGTGTAGTCATGGTGTAATTAGTTTGTACTTGTCCCTGAAAGAGTGCCCCTTATTTTTTTTTCTATGCATGTTCGCCGGTTTTTCCTAGGTGGGTGGTCCGATCGGAACAAAGCC